GAGCTAGGGCTCTGGTTTCCAGAGAGCCGAGTTCAAATTCTGCCTATACATTACACTAACTTTGCAATGCTGGACAAGCAACATTCTCTCCCTACCTTATTTCCTCATCTGTGAAATGGAGCCAACAACATCATCTCTTTCACTGGATCATTGTGAAGCTAAATGAAAGAATACACATGAAGCACTTAGAAAAGTGCCTGGTCCTTAAGTTCTCGATGTTAGCAATGATAATGACACAACCATGACAACAAAGACAACTAGTATTCTTATGTTAAAGTCCAATACCTTGCTCCATAGAGAAGACTATAAATGAGAGTTTATTAGCCTGCTCAGGTTGCCATAACAGAAAACCCCAGACTAGGTGACTTAAACAGCAGAAATTTATTTTCTCACAGTTCTGAAGACTGGAAGTCTAAGATCAAGGGACCAGCAGAGTTGGTTTCTAGTCAGGCTTCTCTTCCGTGCCTTGTAGCCAACTTCTTGCTGTGTCCTCAGACAGCCTTTGACTCTGTGCACATGTATTTCTGGCTGTCTCTTCCTCTTCTTATAAGGACATCAGTCCTGTTGGATTAGGACCCCACCCTTAAGACCTCATTTAACCTTAATTACATCCCTCAAAGCCCTATCTTCAAACACAGTCACATTGGAGGTTATGGCTTCAACATATGAATTTAGAGAAATACAATTCAGCCCATAACAGAAAGAAAACACTTTTAAATAAATACTTAATATTTTACATGTAAAATTCTCTGTTATCTGCCACATTGGAAGAAATAAAGTTTAAGTAAAACTTACATTGAATTTTATATAAAATGTCACAAGTTTGTGCAAAATACTTAATCACATACAATTAAATACCCAAAAAAGATTAATTCATGTATACTGCCACTGCATGCTAAGAAAACACATTACCTGTGTAATGCAAAAGTCAAAATGTGTTTACTGTACTTACTAATGGCAAAAACTGCACAATGATAAAGGTATCATTGGCTGTAATTATTTTAATCACATCACAGAATTTATTACAATTACTTATTATATTTACTAACTTATTCAATGAATTGTATTTTTATCTGGCTAACAAAAATGTATCATCCATAAGTGACTCTGTTAAATATATTACCAAAATAAAATATAACTCTTTTACCTGCTGAAAAACATCTGTCCCCTCATCATAGTCCACCATACTGAAGAAGAGTTTGTTACAGAAAGCAGAAGAATAGCGCCAGGAGTTAGCCAGTATTTGATATTCTTCATTAGCTTGCCTAGTAAGAATAATGGGGCAGAGTAGAAAC